GGATATAATGTGAAGAGACAGGAAATTAATAGAAACATTATAAATCAACTTACAATTAAATATAAAACATCGTTACTAATACAATAGACTTAACGCACATTTTTTTGATGATATATATGCAATATGCTTCGGTTACATAGCGAAAACTAAGCTGAAGAGCATGTAAAGCAATAAAGTAATAACACTAACCCATTGGTAATTTTTTTGTCCACACACTTTTAAACATGTTGAAAGTGTCACGTCATTATGCTTAAGTTTCGACTCCTTTTTTCTAATACGTAAAAATTATTGCCGGATAATAGTATCAAATACCATCGCTTAGAAAACTCAAAAGGGCAGATCTCTTCTCAGAGTTTAATAACTCCTCAGCAAACTTTTTGTCGATTCGTTCCTGATATTTATCCGAAACCTTGCTCTGTATACGAGCGTCAGCCCGTTTTTGAAGTTCAGCTGTGGTAAATTTGCATCTATGCATCATTCCAGGAGAGTCAGTAGTAGAAAAACCTAACCCAGATGTAACGCTAGTCACTAACTGCTGAGTATCATGATCAAGCTCCTTTTGAAGGATATGGCATTCGGACTTTTTCAATTCCGTGCTATTTAGGCCTTTGCATTCACGTCGGTGATCACAAAAAATATCTTTGTATAGGTACACTCCACACAACTCACATTTGAAATATTCCAAATCAGCAGTTACATGCGTCATTATGACAATCTAAAGGGTAAGAATAAAAATTCAGCTCTATTTTAGCTAAAAAGAAAAAGATAATAAGGAGGAAAAAAATATAAAATGAAATTAAATATAAGACATGCTCCCCAAAATGTGTTAGATCTTTATTATATATAGCGAATAGAGTAAGAAAAAAAAAACTAAATAAGCACAGCTTCCCTTCCTTATAAAAAGACGCCTCTTTTCTACTTCTTCGCCTTCTTAGCTGAGGGAGACGCAGACTTCATGGGGGCAGATGCCTTAGTTGGCGGAGCGACCTTCGTGGGGGGAACAACCTTTACAGGGGCAGAACTCTTTGTGGGGGCAGCAACCTTCGAAGGGGCAGCGGCCCTCTTCGCGGCTTCTTGCTTCTTCTTCTGCGCGGCCGCTTCGGCGTCATCGCGCTTCGCGCGTTGGCGATCCTTCTCACGTTTCTTCAGCTCGTGCCTTCGAGCCTTGGCGCGGTGCTGTTCGGCCTTGGCACGCTTCGCTGCAAGCTGCTCAGCAAGCTGGCGCTCCTTCTTCTTTTCGTTCTTGATCTTGTGGATGTGCTCAACAAGGTTGCGCTTATTACGGAACACATTACCCTTCGCGCGCACGTACAGATCGCGATAGACATGACGGTCGATCTTCTTCTCCGCGCGATATTTCCTCAGCAGGCGGCGGAGAATGCGCAGGCGGCGCATCCACAACTCCTTGCTTGGCATGCGAGCCTCGCGGGTGCCATCACGTCGGCCCACGCCAGTGTGGCGGCCCATGTCCTTCGCCTCCTTCATCTTGCGCCAGCGGGCTCGGGAATGCACCTTTACGGGTTTGCGGATAATGAAGCCATCCTTAATCAGCCTGCGCACGCTTTTGCGAGAGTTTGCATTCTGAATCTCAAGAGCCTCGTTAGGATCAAGCCAAACGCGACCACGACCACAGCCAAGGATGTCCGAGGCAAGGCGGGCCTGAAGCTTCAAAGACACCATTTTCCTGGGGTTCTTGTTGAAGGAAAAAGACGTTCTTAGCTATGCCTTTAACAAATAAAAATTAAAGAGTACAAAAAGGAAGATACGTGATTCAAACAAACACCGCAAAAAAAAAAAGCTACATGTATACGTAGAATCACTAAAGATACTTTAAATCTATTTAACGTTTGAATCTTATTAATAATAATTATTCACCTTACGCAATTGATGATAATTCCCTATTAGGATAAACGATTTTAGTTCTGATGAGAAAAGTCGATGTGAAATAAACAATTCACACGTTTTGTTTCAAAAGAAGAAAATTACTTTTTAGAATTTAAATTACTGGTTAGAATTTATCGAAAACGCTTAGCGGCGCACAAAATTTCAAAATTGCCTCAGAATTCGTACCCGAAAATTAAATTCTGTGATTAATTTTCGGAATATGTTACTTCGATTTCATCAAAATCAGTAAGTTATCTTTGAGATGCTTTTGATGAATGTTGGTATAAATGATATAAAGCGGTAACAGTGTGTGTGCTTAGAGAAAATGAAGAATAAAAGAATATGTTAGGTTAATTTCCTTTACTACACATTTTTAACGCGACTTCATGATAAAGGACAAACACAGAATCTTGTCTACTTCTCAATGCACAATTCAATAAGTTATCGCTTTTTTTTTGATTCAAAAAAAGGCTTTGATGATCTGGTAGAACGTGTCAAGGTTATCCACAAAACATCAGGCGAGGATGAGGTATATGAAAATCACGCTACAAAGTCTTCAGAAAGAAAAAAGGGGACTATACAAAAGGTAGAAAGCACACGATTCTGGTTTGCTTGACACGATGAAGTACCCAGTAGTTATAAAGGTACAATATACCATATTTATTTTTCTCTAAAGGATCTGTAAAAAGGTTGCATGTGTATCGAAAAGTTCCTCACATGGTATTTGTCTTACCGATACGATGACTGATACTTTTTACATATCACTTTCACATCTCTGAATAGTCTTTCATTGTGACATTTTTAGATGTGAAAATACACTACTTGTGACTCAAATACTTTGAACACAAATAAACCGATACTTTCCGTGAAGTGGTAAAGGCCGTATTAAAGAGACTGGCAACGACACACTACCGCCTGTGTCAGTGTGTCTAACAGATGGAAGAGCAATCTTGACAGGAGTGGTGCGTCAAAACAGCCGCGCAAGACAAGAGATGTATATTACCTTGAAGCGCAATGTCTAAATAAGATTCAACGAAGATAGGCACATCACCATTTATAATAAAGTTGCTGGCGGAATGATAGGGTCGTCACACAACCGCTCTTCGTTATTACCAGGATATAAAATATTAGTGAGTAGAGGAATATATGTGATAAGACGACGTTTTATTGAGAGGCGATAGCGAAACTGGCAACATAAACTAACGTGACAGCAGCATTCCTTAGTCTGGTATACGATGAATTCCAGAAGTGCATAATACGAAATGCAGGAAAGAACTACCAAAATAAAATCAGTTGATAGGAAAGGCAAGAGCATAGAAAAACACAACGCTGAGCCTGTCATGGGAGAAATATAAATGTTCTTGAAATGAAGACTGGATGATCATAACGTCGTTCTCTATAAACAAAACTTTTAGTACTGAATGTATAATAATGGTTATAAGAACATAATCATCTTATTTGAGTCTAAAACTGTTATTTAAAAATGCAGATAAAAGAAATTGTTTTAAGAATGTGTGGTGATCCATTTGCTTGATGTTTGCCATGTAAAATAAGTATAAGTATAGAGGATGAAAAGAGAATAATGGCAAACAAAAAAAGAATCCATATTGCGATAATTCTGAATAAAGCTTGAAATGGTAATAATAGAATCGTTTTCTAAAATGAAAAAACACATGTTACTTCTGCAAATAACTCATTTCTTTCAGGTCGATTAAATTCACATTAGGCTTACTACAGACTCTTCGTACTCCTTAGATATTCATTTATAGTCTTTTTTATTTTATGTCACAAAATGATGTGACTGTGATTGTAGTGATACAAAAAAAAGCACAAAATACTCACATGAAAGTCGACCGAAAGCCTAAATAAAAAACAAAAGTTAATATTAAAAAAAGTAATGATTACAATCGTTCTGATAGAAAAAAAAAGGAAAGACATAGTGAGGAAAATAGATTTTATCACTTGTTCAGTAAAGTAAAATTTCAGTTACTCATAGAATAATAATAAAAAAGCGTTTTCATACTCCTGTAAATAGAAGAACCAATATATACTATTATAGATATATAGTATGCATTAAATAAAAAGGTGAAAATAGGTAATAAAGAAGGTGGAAAAAATAGAAAATGAACTCAAAATAATAAATCTGTCTATTATATTAATCATTACGTATATTACTTCATTTGAAAAGGGTATCTATGGTAGTCCAATCGCGCTATTGAATCTAGAGATCGGTAACATCGTCATCTAGAAAACGCTCTGAAATATATATATCTGAATTTTGACATATGCGCCGCAGAGGTCGTATCTGTATCGCACTCCCACAATCCATTAGTTCGTGAGATAATAATCGATTGAAAAAGGCTAATGTTTACCGTGTGTTAACTCTGCACTTGCTCCAGGTGACACCTCTCACGCTCTTCAGCCCTTTTTTCTTCCTTACGAATTAGGTGCTTCAAAAAAAACATCAGTATAATCTGAGATAAATTCAGGATGCAAAGGGTTAGAAATATATATGTAAACACGCGCAACATGGGGTCTCTGAACAAATCGTTCTTGATGCTGCTATCATCACCGCTGTCTGTGTGCTCATGAGGGTCTTCAGCACTCAATGCATCCAGTTCGTATGCGAAAAGCGCATAGTCCACTTCATCCTGCTGTGGTGCTAACGCACTCCCATTGAGCATATCCAGGACCTCCACACGCACGCGGCGCATCTCGCCCAACACTTTGAGGCTTACTTGCTGACCATATACCCCACGCCATGTCACTCCCACTGTGTTATTGTGCGAGGGGATCCAGTCTTTCTCGTCAAGCACCTCGCCGTACCTCCCCAACACTGTCGAGCGAAATCCAATGCGGTCATCTAGCGCGTGTACAACGTTCTCTAGTGAGGAGGTATCAGAACGGGTATCCGTACCGTTAAGCAATGCATCTATCCCTGATTTGGGCAAAAAACGATACCTACGTGTATCGTAGTAAAGTGATTTCACACCTCCTTTATGTATGCAAACCCCCACCACTATCATATCCTCCTGTGCAGTGTAAGAGGGTACTGCATCACACGTGTGATTAGCGTACGGTTGCAAGCGCGAAATTACGAGTTTCGGCAACGCCGCCTGAATCAGCAGCGTTACCGTGCCAACCGGTATGGTTTTCGACGCCTTCCGCAGGGTGCTTCCCACAGTAGCGGTAAATGTACACTTGTCGCCGAAAATGCCTCCGGTTTTCACCACTAACACCTTCAGTAATGTAGAGTACGTTTCCGCGACAACCCTCCCCCCGTGGCCGGCGCCTACAAACATCCGGCCAGTCCGCTCGACACGTCGCTCGTAATTGATACTCTCGTTACAAGACGTGCCCCGATTTACCACCGGTATCATCATCAATAACGTCACCCCCAACTCGCAGTTTGCACTCACGGAAAGATATGCGCTCTCGTCGTACAGTGTGGCCGTCGGTGGTAGACTTACACTGAACAGGGCTTTCATTACGTTACTGTCATCGTTGTCGTCACTCGGCACCACTACCACGCTGCCCTCGTCCAACTCCCATTTAAACGTTGGAGGCTCGTTGCTATTCCCCTTCTTAACGCATCCACCGGAGAGTTGGACGTACGAATCAGGGTCGGCGCATCCGCAATATCCGTCCGTCTTAAGCACCGACCCAGCAGGGCACAGCTTACATCGCTTCACGTCGAATTCTCCCCCGCAACTGCCATTCCAAAGACTGTACCCAGGTGGACACCGGGTCGCGACGTATTCCGAGACGAACGGCAGAATCACACGCCGAGCCTTCGCTGGCGCCACCTTCGGATTTAGGCACCAGAATACCGACGGCGGCAGATCCCCGGTCGAGGTGTATGGAACTCGAAGCACAGCACGTTTTAAACACTCCCCCATCGCGTCCCCACGGGTTCCAAACAGTTGCTTGACTAAAGTATCCATATGATTTTCGAAAGCAATTCCAAAATCATGGAGAAGCGTTACTTTTGAATCTTTCAGATACCCCAAGAACTTAATCTGAGTAGATGTATCATTTAAAGATATCTCCCCCTTTGCAAACCTATCATGTAAGCTGCGAATTCTAGAATCTTCAATCGCAAGTGCTGCCACAGCGTAGATCCCCTGTAGACATACGAGTGGCTGAATCTTGTTTAAGTGATTCTGCTGATTCCGCGTTGTATCAATTAAATCATGAATCGAAAAAATAGCGGTTGTTAGCACATTATCTGGGCTTAGTTCATGAATCAGATTATCTATTAATTTACTGAGAGGGCACACCTCCTGTAATGAGTGCAACATATCACCACCCTCAGGCACCTCAACAACAGCACCAAGCGACTGGTTCAGCCATCCCCTGAGTACGTCATACTTGTCCATCACGATATCGTATGATTTTTGAACAATGTCTTTGACTTGTAAGGTAGAAATAGCTAATAGAGCATCCATTTGATCACTTGACTGCGTAACAGATAAACTATTCATTAACAGTTTACTTTGCGTGCTCAGTAATTTCTCGATCTCACGTGTATATAACAAAGACCTCGCGAGCCTCAGTTGCTGAGCCCCATATTGGAGTTTGATGCTTGCCACAAACGCTTCTGCACCTGACTTATATATATGGTTGATGTGTCCTACATCCAACTCAGAGTCAGAGATGTTGAGGGACTCAGCGGAACTGCCACCACACTCAGCAGGAGACGACGAAATATTCGCTACACACATGCGCGTCCCGTCAGGAGAAGCGGCGGAAAGGTAGCACCCGTGAAACGGATCAAACGTACCTTTGTTCACCACTCCGTAGAGATAGCTCATCATGGTGAGTGTCAACGGGATATAAGACTGATAGACGCCGTTCGATATACACACGCTGCCATCGGCACCAGCATACGCACTCGCACCCCCAGTAGAAACAAATGGAGCGGCAAAGGCTTCCAAAATCTCTTCCGTCATCACGTTGGGGGAGTAAATAACCTTACCACGTGACATATCGGCCCCACACCATAACATCAGAATCGATGCTATGGCAAGCATATAACTCCTCGTGTACATCTTGCAGATTCTTGCGAAATAAATTCTGAATTATCTACTGAAGCTTCCTTTTCTTCAGTTTGGGATAGGCGAAGAAGTGGGGGTAAAGGAGGAAAAAGGAGACTGTGTAATTCTGATGATGATCTAAAGATGGTTAAAAATGTAAATAATTATTTTGACAATGTGAAATTAAAGTATGTAAGGTAGGAAGAAGGAAAAGGTAAGAAGGATAGCATTACAGGAACAAATTTGCCTATGTAAAGTACGATAAAAGCTAATGCGGAATTTTTTTTTGTGTTACATTCAGCTTTAGGTACGTCATGTAGCCTAAGAGGTTTAGCGAGGATTTGTAATTATTGCCTTCAATTAAAATAAATTTTGTTAGTCAGATTTTTTATTTCTCTTTGGTATGGGTTCTAAACTTTCTTATTACATTAGCATTTAAAACGAGATATCCATATGTATAGATCAATTTACTTTTCCCAACAAGGGATCTTCTATCTATTCAGCAAGTAGAGAAAAATCGAGCATATCGTTCCCAGATGATTCCTCATGTAATCCAGCCAGTAATTGATTCTTGTGTGTGAGGTCTTGCTCGACACCGGCGTAATAGGTGGTATTGCGAAATAAATGAACTCGAGGACTCATAAAATTTTCGCTGTTTTTTTCCGTAGTGCAAGAATGAAAACGAACACGAAGTAACCGAACAGCCTCTAGAGCAGATTCATGCGATTCGAATTCGATAAATAGTGTAGCTGTTGTTGCAGATGGTGTTGTCTGCTTCACTATGGAAGCTTTTGGTTCTCTCACACCAGTCTCAATAAAACTATTTTTGAGGTTGTCTTCAGCAATTTGCTCATATTGCTTACTAGTTGGGGCCATGCTGCAAGTATCATTCTCATGATCAACTTCATTCTGCTCGAAACAGTAATATGAGATAACGCGCCCATATTGACAGCATTCCTCTAACAAAAAGAGTGCAAAAGGTTTTTTACACACATGGCCATCCCCCTCATTGTTTATTGAAGCTTGGCTGTAGCAAAGGGCTTTTATGGATTCGGCCAAATTTCGCAACGCCACAACGGTAAAAGTGTGCCTTACATGTACCGGAGTTATACACGCATAATTCGGAATACACACAAGCACATTGCCCAAGGATTTCGACATATCGAATGTAGCCTCAGTGTTCGAACGCGATAGTAGCCATGAATTATTTCGAAAGAAATCTACACTGGATGTTTCCTTAAGGTATTCGTCATCCTTATCAACAACATAAGTCGCCAATAAGAGTTGTGCCATACTCAGTACACTAAAATAGCCTTGATAGAGATCCACTCTATCTAGTGTATAATCCTCATTTGCTACAAACTCATAGTGGTAGTTACGAAATAAGCTATCTTCAAGATTCACACATGAAACAACACTGCCGTCAAACAATTCGCCATTTAACTGCTCTTCCAGATGTCTAAAAAGAAGACTAAATCGTGAGAGCTTCACGGTGGCCATGTCGTTCTTATACTTGCCTTTGTTTTCTGGAATAAGCAAAGTACACATTTCTTTAACACGGAGTCCAGTCTCTAGGTCTGTTGTGCAAACAAATACTAACACGCATTTGACATAAGAATGCAAATCTGACCTTTTATTCATTACTGTTACACTGTCCTTTTCGGTTTCAACTGTTTGTAAAACATCAAAACTATCCCAAAAAAGCGTCGCCTTGTCTAAAATACCGTCAACAAAATCTTGAAATGCATTTCTGTCGACAAGGAGTCGAGAAAACGACACTGCGTTTTTGATTAACAAACCGCTTGTTAGAATCTTTCGAGATGAAAACGATGACTGTACAGTGTTTTTTTCCAACCTAGGGCGTTTTTTTATCTGAGACGTAAAGTAGATTGAGCTCTGAAGTGATATCTCTGATATTTTTTCTTTATTCCGCTTTCCTCTGCTTCGAAGGATCTCAAACAACATAAAATTGAGATCGACATCGTAAACTGCACGATCACCTCCGAGGACTGAGTATGTTTGGCAATGAAGTGGAAGTTCAGAAACAGGTGCCGCATTTGAATTACATGGACTGAGAATTTGAACTAACATGCGCCCGAAACCAGCATTAATTTGCAACCCCAAGTCAAAGAGTGCAAGTTGTGACACGTTTCGGATCGTGTAAGGTCTCCATTTACTCAAAGTGTATGTAGGCGGTGGACTTCCACCATATATGTTACTTATGATCCCTTCTAAGCCTTTGCGATCCCATGCTTTTCCTAGTTCTGCCACGCTATCCCACAGAGGGGCGGTACCCACCACAATATCGGCCCGCTGGGATGAGGGCATTGAGGGGAAAGGCTCAAACAGATTGTGTACCACAAGATGAAGCTCGGCGCAAAACTGATTAAGGATGAAAGTCATCTCATCACATTGATACTTAGCAGCACACAAAATAAGTGCGTGCGGGCCCTCACCTTGATCTAGTAAAGGTTGCTGAGATACATGTAATGCAATCGAAAGCGCGATCGCGTACATTATCTCGAGCTTCGCTGAGCTATGTAAACCGATTCGATCTGTAGTCATTGGTTGTTGGTTTGATGAGGTGTCGGTTAATCCTTTTTGTAGCATCACTTCTTTTCGTAATTCTTTTTGTGAATCAATACTATCCTCCATGAGGCTGTTGCCGGTACCACTTAGATCGTAGATAATGTCTTCCCCATAGAGTGCATGCCGATACCCTTCCCAAAACCAAGCACCCCCAAAAGATGCAGCTGAGGGATTGAAATTTTTTAATGGTAAAGCTGTTTCAAGATAAGGAATAAAGGAAGGCGACACGAGTTGATGGCACTCTTCTAATGATGCTATCCCACATGGTTCTGCATTCTCTGATATAACTCTTAAGTCAGCAATGCAAAACCCCCTATTATCACTTTGGGCATTAAAATGACATGGATTATTAAGCCTCCGTACAGTTATGCACTTGCTCCTATTTTTAATGTTCCGAGTATGCATATGATAAGACTTTTATGCAAGGCTAATCCAATATAAATAAAACACGTTGAAATTTCCTTGCCAAGTGCAACAGAAGTACTATTTTTCTGTTTTAAATATAAAACAAAAAAAATGAAGGTTCTTACTTGAAGCCAAAGCGGACTTCGCTAATAAAGAAAGATCCATCCAATTAGATGCCGTGGAAAAAATTTAACAGGAAATCAAAAA